TTCTTCTTCTTCTTCTCCCTCCTTCCGGACCCCTCTGCGAACGTCCCGAATCCATGGACCCGCGAGACGGTGAGGCGAATCTTCATGAAGGAGCTCACGATTATAGATCCTCCGACCACGGAGAAGACGATAGGTCGCAACCTCACTCCGGAGACGGTGCCAGCCCTGGGTAATTTTCTGTTCCACTGTTTGTTTCTCGATAAAGCTAAGGAAAGTTTTGAAGGATAATACTTTAGCTCTACGATTCCTTTTACTCGATTGTTGAAAAAAATTGGGGAAACATAACAAAAAAGACACGCCGGGTATTGGTAATTTAGTATTTTTCGATTTGTTGGAAGATAAGTGAAATTCGTGATAAAATCTGAGAAAATAGACTGTTTTTGTGCTTATTTTGCTTTTAATTTCATTCTTGTTTCTCCAAGTTACGCAATTCCATTATCTGCTAATTGCTTTAATTTTTATAATTTTTGATGTTTTCTTTAAATTTTAAGTTTTTAGTAATCTTAATTCTTGGACTTATTTAGCTAAAGAGGTGGGGAGCAGGAGCAGATATGTGGGTTTGGCTCCTAGGTTGACATAGAATAGTGGTCTTATCCGGCTTATAGTTTTAGAATGTAATAGGTTACCCTCTTTATATATTTCTTTACTGATTAGGTATGCCTCCTTTTGAGGAGATTTGCACTATGAATAACTATGAGATGTTTTATGATTTATTCTACATCTGGAATTTGCAGCAAAATTTTCATAGGAGGTTTAGCAAGAGAGACAACTTCTGGTTAGTTCTTTAGCTTGTGTAGAAATTCCTTAATGTTGTTGATATTGGCATGCTTTGGTTGTTTTATGGCTTGCCCTTTTTATTCTTTTGGATCATATATGCATTTTTTTGTGCAGCACAATTTCTTAAGCATTTTGGTAAATATGGTGAAATTACGGATTCTGTAATTATGAAAGACCGGAAGACAGGGATGCCTCGTGGATTTGGGTTTGTGACATATGCAGATCCTTCTGTTGTTGATAGAGTTATTGAGGACACTCATATTATTAATGGAAAACAGGTAATTTTTTGTTTTTATGGGTGTGGAGGCCACATGATCAAAATATTAAGTTTGGCTATCTTTTTGTACTTTGATTTTGTCATTGATACTTTGGTTTTGATCTTGGTTAATTGACATTTGGCATGTTGTTTGGTTTCCCAGGTAGAGATTAAGAGAACAATACCAAAGGGAGCTGTTGGGAGTAAGGATTTCAAGACTAAGAAGATTTTTGTTGGTGGAATTCCTTCAACAGTGTCTGAAGGTGATTTTTCTTTCTTCTGTTTTTACCTTACTTGAAGTAAAGTCTAATGGAATTTATCCCAAAATATTTTACCTTTATTTAAAATAAAAAAATACTAAGATAATTTTCCTCTGGTTAGATGAGTTCAAGGAATTCTTTTCACAATTTGGGGAGGTCAGGGAGCACCAGATCATGCGAGATCATGCCACCAATCGCTCTCGTGGTTTTGGGTTCATCACGTTTGACGCAGAGCAAGCTGTTGATGATCTCTTGGAAAAGGGGAACAAAGTTGAGATGGCTGGAGCTCAGGTATACAAAATGCCATTAAAATAATTGGATTTCTTCTTTTCTTTTTATTTAGGACAGTATTTCCTTTTCCAGGAGCATATTTCAATTATCTTCTTATGTTGAAGGGAAATATGTTCAGCTGAATGATTCTTGGTGCTTAAATTAGAGAGTAAAGCCTTGACCAACATGGATTGGGTTTAAGTGTCTTAACATTTTTCCCTTAAAAGTTTCAAACCCAAATCCAATCATTATTTTCCCATTGAAGTTGCTAGATGTTTTGATGGGACCTGTTATGGTTTGTTTCACTCACCTACCAGAGTTAGGTTAGGAAAAACTAGTGGATTATCAATCATGTAAACCCATGGATTAGAGATAAGATCTAGATGGCATGTAATCTGTAATTGGATGCATTTGGAGTTGATTGCCACTATCGTTTAATTTGGTTTGCCAAAAGTTACTGTCATTGGTACACATTTTTGCAACTCAAGTTATTCAAATTCAAAAGGAGAGATACAGCTTCTTGTTGAGCACTAGAATTGACATTCTCAGTTCAACCAGAAAACAACTTCTGACAATGGGCGGTTTTAGACTTTTTCTGTTCATTAATGCTATCCATGTTTCCGAATCATTGTCCCTTTTCTTGTATCATCTCTTAATACCTACATACTTGAAGTACTTGTTGTCATAAATGCTTCATATGCATTTAAAAAAAAAAGAAGAAAGAAATATATTACTATCACTTCTGTTGTGTCAAATATAAGTACAGTTACTTTACAAGCAATAAGTAAACTAAAGGAAATTGTATTATTTCTTAATAATGAGGAGTTACGTCACTTCTACTGTGAATGAGCATATCTAAGATTCTAAAGTTCTGTCACTCTTCTTTCTTTAAACAAAGATTGCACTACATGATAATGGATTCTCACATTTTTCTTTTCTTGTAGGTTGAGATAAAGAGAGCAGAGCCAAAGAAACCAAATGCTGCCCCTCCTCCATCCAAGCGATACAATGATTCTAGGTCTTCATATAGTGGTGGATTTGGAGATGCTTACAGTGGATATGGAGGTGCTGGTTTTGGTGGTGCTGGTTACAGATCAGGTGGGTCCTATGGAGCTCGAGCTGGTGGGTTTGGGGGATATGGCGGTGGTGAATTTGGTGGGTATGGAGGATATGGGGGTGGTATGGGCCCATATAGAGGAGAGCCCTCTGTTGGATATTCAGGTCGTTATGGAGGTTTTAGCAGAGGCTATGATATGGGAGGAGGCGGCTATGGAGGTCCTGGAGACATGTATGGAGGATATGGTGCTGGTGGCATGGGTGGTGGAGGAGGCTACGGGAGTGCTTATGACACTGGCCTTGGTGGTGGCTATGGAGGTGGTGCCGGAGGTCCCTTTTACGGAAGTAGGGGAGGAGGTTATGGTGGTGCAGGGAGTGGCCGATATCATCCTTATGGGAGGTAGAAAGGGCAATTGTTGCTTGGGACATCCTTTCCGAGTTACAAGATGCGACATGCTGAGCAGGATTAGCATTTTGTAGTCTATGTATCTCCCTATTTTTTTTCTTCAAACGTGTCACAATTTTCTGAGAACAAATTCTAAAGTTCTAAACTCTGCAAACTGTATGATTGAATTCTTCTCATATTTGTATTAATGGTGGGATTTCATCACATGTTTCTGAATAGGATATTCATTGTGAATGACTTAATGATGGTAGTTTTCTGTTTAGAAGAGGGAAATTCGTATGGTTACAATGGGCATAATGGGGCTGGGACAATATCCTATAATCACTGCTTGGACTTGTATATGGATTAGGGTGATCTAAGGGACTGATGAGGCTGGGTATATTTACGAAAATGTTATAGTTACCGTATGCAATATTATAATATAAAATTAATTTTTTAATTTAAAATTTACAATAAATTTATAATTTATAAATTTATATGGTAATATAATTATATTATTTTATTTATTTAAAAAAAAAATTGTATGACATTAACTAAACGAACGTGTTAATTTGGGTAGAAAGGAGTTTGGGTAGAAAAGAATTTGATTTTTTATAAATAAAATTTTGAGTTTAAATTTTATAAATAAAAAAATAAATGTTAAAAGAAATTTCTCATAATAAGATTTAATCTAATTTGATTTTAAATTAATTAAAATTTAATATAATTATTGAATATTAAAACATTAATAAAAAAATAATAATACCAAGGAGCAAATAACGCAAACGAGGAAGCAACGGGACAAGAGCCACATAAATCATAAAATATCTGCATAACCCCTCTCCTTCTTTACCGATAAAAAGTGGGGAGACAAAGACAAATAATTTCTGTATTTTCTTTTTCTATGAAAATACAGAGTTCTTCAATTAAAAAAAAAAAGAAGAAGAAGAAGAAGAAGAAGAGAAAAAAACGCTTAAAGAACTGATAAAATACTTCCTTTCTTCAACCTCTCTGCTTTTCCCGGGAAAGGGATTAAAGCGAAATTCAGAAAGCATGGCAGTGGTGACATCAAGTTTCTTTTCGTACCAAAAGGTAAAAAAAATTTTAATATATTTTCTTTCATTTGTATATCATTTATTGTTTATCAATGTTCTCTTCTTAGCTTGATTATGGATAGAAATCATAGAATAATATTGTTTGTCGAAAAACGAAATCTTGCTTTCTTCACGGATGCAGATGCTCCGAGTAAGTTGCAGGAGGAAAGAGAGAGGAAGAGAACACCAGAACAATTACCCCTACAAAGTCATCGAAATTACGCCCCCACCTAAGTCCCTTGGCGTCCGTTGCTTCCCTTCCGTATGTCTCATTTCTTCTTCTTTATGGTTCACATTTATGAATTAATGGATTACGCTAACCAACTTGTGGACTCTAGTTCCAGTCATTTGAGGTTTTGGCTTGCTTTTCATTTTGGTATTTCCTGTTTTTGCTATATGGGATTGTGGTATTTCAGTATTTCTGGTAGGACCTAGTTGGGATTTGAGATATTATATCTTGGGTGGATAGCTGAAATGTGTTGTTTATGTATATACTTGGTTAGCAGTTGAAGCAAAGAACAGAAAATGGGATGCTGTTTTGAAATGGGAAAACTAAGACTTGTTGTTTTACTCAAATCTGAAGCAAAGGTTGATCCTTTAGCATAAAGTATCACCCATCATAATCTTAGTTTTATTGTTTTTTGAGATGTGATAAAGCAATGGAATTTGGGTCGAATTTTCTAAGAATGTATGTATGGTAACAAAAATGGCAAAGGCATTGGAATTGGGAGGATATAGAAAGAGCTTGTAACTATTGTTTAAGCAACTTTGTTCAAAAGGTATTTAACTGAGGAAAATGATGCCCAGCTTAGAAGTAAGAGAGAAGGGAGGGCCAATTTGATATTTAGATTAGATGATGGGTTTCATTATTTAGAAAAGATGCCTTTGAATTCAGGTTATTGAAAACTCAAAAGGAATAAAGGGTTTGATCAGCTTCTGTGCTGATCACAAGTGTCCTAGTTTCTATTTACCTTCACTAAATGAACCTCCTAAAGCGGTGGAATTTGATTGTACACGAGAATGTGGACCATTGGATTAGGATTTTCAAGATTCTAGGCTATCATTGTTTGCAGATTTATGTCATGATTTTAAGTTATGTTGGTCTTTTCTCTAAATTAGTTTAGAAGAAGTCAGTTTTATATGTTATGTCTAATCTGTAAAAGGATGAAATCAGATAGTCTGGTCCCTCTATCTGCTTGTAGATTGGTGATTGTTGGGTTATCATGTGATGTGCTTAGTGAGTTGTAAATGTCAGGGGCCCTTCATCATGTGTTTGAGAAGCAGAAATCTGGTAACAGACAGACACTTGCCCGTAGATTCTATTTATGGGCATAAAGGAACTTAAATGATCTGTCATCTTTTCGGTGTTAGTAACTACTTTAGTTCATGTGTATTGGTATGCTTGAGTCTATATATATATATATATATATATATATGTTGTGAAACATCATATTTCTGCTGGGGTATCTGTGTCTCTCATTGTGTCTGTGTCTCGTTGTTCCTTCTGTATCAGAACTTGCAATGTGGAGAGAGCGTTACAATTGAAGGCCAAGCATACACCATCTCAGCTGTAACTCACAGGTACCAGCTACGCAAAGGGAAGTATGAACCTAGTGAGAAGCAGCTAGATGTTTTGTCCACGGGAAGATACCTCTTGAATTTATATCTAGAAAACTTACTAGAACAATCTTGATCACATTCACTTTCAAAATCAAATCTTGAAATATCATGCCTTGATCACATCTTGGCAAGTTGTTTCAATTTCTTTATCATTAACATACATTCTCGTTGGTGTATACATGCCTCTAAAAGAGGAGTGGTTAACCAGAATGCAGATGGAACTTGTTTATCATAAAATTTTAATGTTTATACTTAATGACGTCTCAATTTTCTTTTTCTTTTTTTTTTTATCTTAGTTACACAGTAAGAGATAACTCTTACTTAATTTTTACTCAATTCAAATTTAAGATTTTTTATTTTTAATGAAAAAAGATTATTACTAACTTATTTAAGTATTCAATAATGATATCTCGAGTTGTGCTTGAAACCATTATAAAATCAACAGAGGATATCGCTTACATATTTCTAGGTAATTCTATATCATGAATTGATGCATAAATTTTATCTTGAGACTCAAAACAATCACATTTGATATTAAATAAGTTGATGTAAATCAATTTACTAAGAATAAGAATATGATTGTGCATATCCTTTCCTTGCATTGTCAACTATAGACAGCATCTAACACTTAAATCTTCTGGTTGGAGTAAAAGATGCTTGTTTTCTGTTCCGGGGGTCTATTACTAATCATGGATGCCAAATTCTTGAATTATTTTTATTCCCTATCAATTCATTCTCTTTTAATCTCACAACATCAAATAATTTGGATCCAAAAATTTATAAATTAACTCTAATTAATTTAAAAAATACCTTGAATTTTGCAAGCTTAATTGAGATTGAATATTCTTAATTTCATTCTGTTTTTAAAATCATAATTTTTCTTCTTTTTTTTTTATACATGATGGTCTGCACCTTGCTACAGATGATTAGAGCCCTTTCGGGGGGAGAAAAGAAAGCGGATAAGCAGCAATCATGGAAGGAAGGAGAAAATGATTTCATGCATTGCAGTATTGCACTCTGAAAATGATTGTTGAAACATGTTTTTAATTTTTATGTGATTCATTACACCTGTTCCACAAGTTTGGGACCCACTGTCTGAATATCCACCTAATGATTACACGTGTCTATATCTCGTAGCGTGATGGAGACGGTTCGGACATCCCCCATCCTCTATCCTGACCCCATTCAAACACCCCCCTCCGTTTTCGATTTAGTCATCGCCTTACCGTCTGATGATCTCAATAAAAATTCCTTGGTCAAGATCAAAAAATGTTAATTCGTGGGTCCCTGTCCGGAGCAGAGCTTCTCTACCTCCACGGACAACCCCAGTAGGTCCCACCCTCATCGGTGGGTCCCCAATGCGGCACAAAGGTCCACATGTCGGCGGGTGTCCTCACAAAGAATTTATAGTTTATGCCATTAAAAGACGATTTATTTTTTTTATTTACCTTATAAAAAAATTATATAAGAAAAGGTTTTTTTATTTTTTTATT